CTTAAGTCCAACCCCCCCCCCCCCCCAAACGGTGATTTCATTGGCGGGCTCAGGACAGCTAACAAACATACATATAAATGTATACCTTAAAACTCCAAGATGTGCTAAAAACAAAGCTAGGTTAAGATTACAGTATAAAACCATAGTTACTCCAGCACATAACCTGGTCCTTTTAACTGGAGATGCCGTGGATTGAACCTGGAACCGTCTGCATGCCAAGCAGAGGCTCTACCACTGAACCAGTCTTTTCCCAACACTAACACATGAAGCTTGCCTTATACCGAGAAAGACCACTGGATTACCAAAGTCAGTGTTGTCTACTCAGACCGGCAGCAGCTCTCCGGGGTCTCAGACTGAGGTCTTTCACATCACCTACTGCCCGATCCTTTAACCAGAGATGCCGGGGATTGAACCTGGGACCTTCCGCATTCCAAGCAGATGCTCTACCACTGAGCCACAGCCCTTGGTAGTAGATGATGCGAAATACCTCAGCCTGAGACCCTGAAGAGCCGGTAGTAGATGATGCAAAATACCTCAGCCTCAGATCCTGAAGAGCCGCTGCCAGTCCGAGTAGACAATACTGACTTAGACGGACCAAGGTTCTGATTCAGTATACAGCAGCTTCATGTGTTCACCGTCCGTCATTCCCTTTTTGTGAATTTCCAGACCACGTGGCTGTTGAAAACAGGATGTCGGACAGGCCCAGTGGACTTTCGGCCTGACAGTGCGAGGAAATTTAATCTCATGCACAAGGTTTGATTTCAGCCGCACGCCAAAGCAGAGTAGTAAGTCTTATTTTCACGTTCTAGAGAAATCCAGGCGCTTCTTTCAGCTGCTGTTTGCCGTGACAGCTACGGCTGGAACCTCCATGTCCAGAGGCAGTATAGCTCTGCGTACCAGATGCTCCGAACAAACACCGGGAAACGGCCGCCCCCTTCCCGCCCTGTTAAAGAGCTTCTGAGAGACATTTGGCCGTCCCACTGTTGGAAACAGGAAGCTGGACGAGAAGGCCCGGCAGTTGCGGGGTCTCTGAGGAATTCTTGGGAAAGAGCGCAGGCAAAACAGCGGTAAGTGTCCTCTGCAGGTCCATTAAGTGGAGTGGCCCAGCATGGAAGAAGCGTCCGTCTCCCAAGGCCTCTTCCATCTTCCAGTCCTGATGGAACTGGAAATGCAGCCAGGCAATAAACATGCCAGCGAAAACTGGCCACATCATCATTCTGAAATATTGATCCCGCTCGCTTGCAGAGGCCGGTGTTCCATCGATTGCACAGCGAAGTAACTTTGCATTTTGCAAAGAGCGGGGCCGGACAAAGAGACGCGAACTGAAGTGCTGGGGGGGGGGGCTTCAAAGGTATCGGGCATGTTCCTGTCCCCAGAACTGGGCAGAATCATAATGTGATTACAGAGACGTGTCCTATGTTCCCTCTAAGCTGAGTGAGTGTGAGCTAGCTCACAGTTTTTTAGCCTCCAGCTCACACATTTTTGTCTTAGCTCGGGAAGGAGGGCTCCAGAGCAAACTCATTTATGCAGCGGCCAGATTGCTCGCTCACAACCTTAATGCCAGGAGCTCACAAAGTAGAATTTTTGCTCACATAAGAGAAGCCAATGTTGGATCAAGCCAATGGCCCATCCAGTCCAACACTCTGTCACACAGTGGCCAAAAATACCAGGGGCCATCAGGAGGTCCACCAGTGGGGCCAGGACACTAGAAGCCCTCCCAATGTTGACACCCCCCCCAAGGACCAAGAATATCTATACTTTGTAGCTAATAGCCACTGATGGACTTCTGCTCCATATGCTTATCTAATTCCCTCTTGAAGCCGTCCATGCTTGTAGCTGCCACCACCTCCTGTGGCAGTGAATTCCATGTGTTACACAAGACTCCACAGCTTAGATTCCATGGAGTCACAAGACTCCACAGCTTAGAGGGAGCATTATGTCCCACAATAGTTACAACCAGGAAGTCCCTGGGTCAAAAATGCTAGTTTTCTAAGTGCAGGGGATTTTAAATGGGGGGCAGGGGCGGCATAGAGGAACGTTTTATCCATGGTCTTCGAGAAAGGTAAGCTAGAGCTCCTCTCGATGACATGCTAGTGTCATAGTTTGGGATTATCCTTTGAGCAGGAGACTATTTGATCCTATGTGTTCCCAGCTCTCAAGCCAAAGTGGCATACAGGTTAACTACCTCTGTGAGGGCCAAACTGAATCACAGTTCTAACCTTGATGGGATGTTGCCAGCCTCCAGGTGGGGCCTGGAGATCTGGAATTGGAACAGATCTCCAGACACAGAGGTCAGTTCCCCTGGAGAAAATGGCTGCTTTGGAGGGCGGGCTCTATACCATTGTCCCCTCACCAAAGCCCTCCCTCCCCCCCCAGGCTCGACACCCCCCAAAAAAATATCCTGGCATTTACCAACACTACCTCAGAAGAGAACCAGTTTGGTGTAGTGGTTAAGTGCGCGAACTCTAATCTGGGAGAACCGGGTTTGATTCCCCACTCCTCCACTCGCAGCTCCTGGATGACCTTGGGCAAGCCATCGTTCTTTCAGAGCGGAGCTGTTCTCTCAGCTCAAGAGCAGTCCTCGAAAGAGCTCTCTCAGCCCCACCTACTTCACAGGGTGTCTGTGGTGGGAAGGGGAGGGGAAAGGAGATTGGGAGCCGCTCTGAGACTCCTTCGGGTAGTGAAGGGCGGGGTAGAAATCCAATCTCTTCGTCTTCTTCTTCAATGTGTAATTTGTCCCACAGCTGATATGGTGTGGGGTCACAGCACTGGGAAATCGTCTCCCGGGCTGCTTTAAGCACCAGCTGGAGGGGGAATAGCAGCCCACTCTGTATAATTCGGTTGGACATGTAGACATCAAGGTTAGATCTTGCAGGCTACAGAGCATGATCTATTGACCTGGCCGTGAGAGCCGAGTGGAACCTCCATCTGCAAAGGCAGTATATCTCTGACTGTGTGTGTATATAAAGTGCTGTCCAGGCACAGCTGATTTATGGCGACCCCTAGTGGGGTTTTCAAGGCACGACATGTCCAGAGGGGGTTGGCCATTGCCTGCCCCTGCGTAGCAACCCTGGTATTCCTTGGTGGTCTTCCATCCAAATACTAACCAGGGCCGACTCTGGAGGAGGAGGAGGAGATTGGATTTATACCCCGCCCTTCACTACTCAGAGGAGTCTCCAAGCGGCTTACAAACCCCTTCCCCTCCCCACAACAGACACGCTGGGAGACAGGTGGGGCTGAGAGAGCTCTGACAGAAACTACCTTTTCAAGGACAACTCTGACAGAACTATGGCTTGCCCAAGGTCATCCAGCAGCTGCAAGTGGAGGAGTGGGGAATCAAACCTGGTTCTCCCAGATTAGAGTCCGCGCACTTAACCACTACACCTAACTGGCTCTGCTTAGCTTCCCAGATCTAAGGAGACTGGGCTAGCCAAGGCCATCTAGGTCAGAGCATATCTCTGAATTCCATGGGCAAAAAAAGCACAAAACAAAACCCCGGGGCAGGGCTCTTTCTTTCCCGAGCTCTGTGCGTAGCTTTCTGCAAGAGGCTAGGTAAAGGTTTCCCTTGCTCGAAAGCCAGTCAGTCGGATCCAACTCTAGGGCTGCGGTGCTCATCCCCGTTTCCGAGCCGAAGAACCAGTGCTGTCCGAAGACCGTTTGCGTGGTCATGTGGCCAGCATGACTAGACGCCAGGGCGCACGGAACGCTGTTGCTTTCGAACTGCCCGGTTGGCAGGAGCTGGGGCCAGAGACGGCAGCTCACTCTATCACGCGGCACTCAGGTCCGTCTCGAACCACTTAACCGCTGAGCCACCGCAGCCCACAAGAGGCTACAGAGGACTAAACACATCCCTGGCGGACGGGGTGGTCTCCCAGCGGCCATTAGCTCTGCTTGCCAAGAGTGGAGCCTCCAGGTTCAGAAGCAGTCTACCTTTAAAGGCGGCCCAGCCCACTGCCGGAAACGCAGAAAGGAACGCGGAGCTCCTGGATTCGAGCCAGCAGAGCCTAGCCGCCTTTACTCAGAAGTAAGTCCCACTGTGTTCAAGGGGTGGGGGGAGGGAGAGAGAGAGAGAGAAACCGGCTCCTCGTCGAAGCTGGCAGCCCAACCTGGGCAAGTCTCCTCGCGAGGAAGCCCCGCCGCGCCCAGCCACCACCCCCAGCCGGAGCCTCTCCGCCGCCTCTCGCTTCCCTCTCCATTTGCACGACTAATTAATTTTCGATCCCGGCGAGGTCCCTCCCCCTCCCCCCCTCCCGTCCGACGTCCAGCCCCTTTCCTCTGATGCTCCCACCGCCACCCCTTTCCTTCCTAGTTCAGCTCCGCCCAGCTCCGCATCCTTCTTCGACTAAGCTCGCTCCGAATCGCAAAAGAAACTGTTCCTCTCCTTCTCTGGCGCCCTCCCCCCCCTCCTTTTCGAGCCGTTCCTGCCATCCCCTGTCCTTAAAAATCAATAAGTAAGGAAAGGACGTCCGTTCTGCTGCAGCGTACAAGGTCTTCTGGTCAATTTCCCGGTCAGTTTCCTGGTCAGTTTCATGGCTCCCTTGGGGGGGGAACCTCCCCCCCCACCGTGTTTCTTTTCCCTTGCAAGTTTGAGGGAAGGGAGGCGGGGCAAGGAGGAATGAGCTCCCAGTTGCTTTATTACTATTATTTGCCCCTGTTTCGGGTGGGGGAGAGAAAGTTACTTAAGACACAGGGACTTCCTCCGCATGCTTTGGAACGCCAACAACTTTTATTGCATGGATGTGTCTTTTTTAAAAAAAATCACCGTTTCTTCTTTGCAGCACCGGAGAAACGAAGCTTTAAAGGAAAAAGTTTTCTCCTTCCTGCTTCACCTACCTGGCGACGAAGGAGAAGAAAAAGACCGAGGAAGATAGCCAAGATCTTCCGGTAGGAAGCGGGGAGATCTGGATCCTTCCCCGCCCTCCCCTTCTTCTTTTAAAGAAAGCTCTGAATGTTTCTGGCCGAACACACCTTTTTAAAATGAAGAGATGACGGATCCCTCCCCCCTGCACCCTTTCACTGTAGACGGGCTATGAAGGCTGACAAGCTGCTTTGGACCAGAAGAACCCTCGGCCCAGGAGAATTTGGAGAAGACTGGCAGAGAGGGCTAGACGCTGTCAGTTTGGGACCAGATGCTCTAGCCGCCGAGGAGAGGTCCGGTTGATCTCGAGGCCGGAGGGACCCTGGCCATGGGGACTGGGCTGTGCACCAGGAGGCAGAAGGGTCTTCTGCAAACTGGGTTTTGCCTGGTGGCCCTCGCCTGCTTGGCCTCCGGAGTGTTTCTGTACAACCACCTACAGGAGAAGGTGAAGGCGGAGGAGGCTTTGGCGTTGAAATACAAGCAGCAACAAGAGGCACTTTCCGCTCAGCTGCAGGGTAAGTCTCTCTCTCGAGTCCACCGGCCTAGCTGTTGTGTTTCTGCTTGGGGGCTTCTCCCCAGATACCACCTTAGTGAAACAAGAGCGGCTCTTGCTAAATCGGACCCGGGTTTCTCTGGCGTCTGGTTAGGAAGGTCGTGTTGTGCTCTGTCGCGTCCCTAACCGCACATGGACACGAAGGCAGACAGAGGTACAAACTGCCTTGCTGGGTCATACTGAGGGTCTGCTGAGGCCAGCCATCCTGCTATCTGGGGTCCCGATACCCACAAGGAAGCTGGGGTGGTGATGATGTTCTCACCTGTTGTTTCTCCCCAATTCTGGCATTCCAGGTATGCGGTCTCTGTGTGTGGATGTTCAGTTCTGCGCCTCACCTTCGCTAGATCTCTCCTAAAAGAACCTCTCCATCTCTCTCTCTCGCTCTCTGGCTAAAAGTCATTGTTGTAATTTTTGAATTGTTACTTCCAGTTGTTGCTCACCAGCTATGTGGGGTGACCCTGCACTTCCGCATGGGGAGAGTGGGAGGGAAATTGCCTTCTCCACACACTTTTCATCATTTTCAGAAGCCTCTGTCATGCCCTGTTTCCCCCCCCCCACACACACACACACGTGCAACTGTACTTTCTTTTTGCATTAAAATGCTCCACGGTCTTCAGCCTTCCTGTACACAAATGAAGCTGCCTTCTACTGAACCAGACCCTTGGTCCATCAAGGTCAGTATTGTCTCCTAGCCAGGGGTCATTTTGTAGAAAAAGAGGTTCTGGAGCTCATTAGCATAACTTATTTGCATATGCCACACCCCCTGACATCACCGGAAATGTATCAGAAGGCAACACCCACCGCTCAGGCTCCACTGGACTGTTTTGGATTGCTAGTTATTGGGGGCGGGGGGGACATGCAGATCTGTCCTCGCAGAGGAGGGAGAGCTTGTACCTGAATAAAACTCGGTCTTAAAGGTGCCACTGGAATATTTTGGACCAGGGGGCCAGAGGGAGCTCTGCAATTTACCTGGCTGCTTTTTGCTCTGACTGAGGGCTGCTGGGAGCAGGAGGTGGGGCTTGTTACATGTGCCCGCCCCCTGGGCTCTTTACTGCCGGAGCTGCGCTCCTGCAGGAAATGACCCCTGCTCCTAGCCCTGATCTGGATAGCCCAGGATAGCCCGATCCTGTAATATCTCGGAAGCTAAGCACGGTCATCCCTGGCTAGTATTTGGAAGGGTGGCCTCCAAGGAACACCAGGGTTGTGACACAGAGGCAGGCAGTGGCAAAACCACCTCTAAAACATCTCTTGCCTTGAAAACAACTCTAGCTCGCCTCCTAGTGGTGCATAATGCTAAAGGGCTAGAACTTCTGGCTGCCAGACTATCTTAGGATCTCCTGGCTATTCTACACACAATGCCATGTGATCATAATTATTGGTAGTATTGTCTACCCAGACTGGCAGCAGCTCTCCTCGGTCTCAGGCAGAGGTCTTTTGGAGTAGCGGTTAAGTGCGCAGACTCTAATCTGGGAGAACCGGGTTTGACTCCCCGCTCCTCCACTCGCAGCTGCTGGATGACCTTGGGCAAGCCATAGTTCTGTCAGAGCTGTTCTTGAAAAAGAGCAGTTTCTGTCAGAGCTCTCTCAGCACCTCACAGGGTGTCTGTTGTGGAGAGGGGAAGGGAAAGGAGTTTGTAAGCCGCTCTGAGACTCCGAGTGAAGGGCGGGGTATAAATCCAATCTCCTCCTCCTCCCACATCAACTACTACCTGATCCTTCTAACTGGAGATGCTGGGGATTGAACCTGGGACCTTCTGCATGCCACAGGAAAGGAATGTAAGTCATGGGTGGAACACTAGCTCTGCACTCTGCACGCAGAAAGTACAATGCCTAGGTTTTGTTCTTTAAAATCTCAGGTACCAAGGCCAGGAGAGATCCTGCGTTATGGACTCTGTATCAGGTGGCTTTTTGAAAGGGCCGGTGGCTCAGTGGCAAAGCATCCACTCAGCACCCAGAAGGTTCCAAGTTCAAGTCCTGAGCATCTCCAGTTGACGGGATCTCCTGCAGCAGAGCTAGTGGTGACTTGAAAGGCTGCTGCTGGCCTGGGTTGACAACAACCGGGAAGCCGGCCTGGAGGTCAGACTCTGAATAAGGCAACTTCATAAGTAAAGAGCTGATGGCCAACGAGGATGAGTGAGTTTGTGATCTGGGAAGTTCAACTCTCTACTCTCAGAAACCCACCTCAGCTGCCCTTCCACCACCTACAATATGGGGATAACAGTATTTGGCTTACCTAACAGGTAAGAATACTCTATGTGAGACAGTTAGGTGTAGTGGCTAGGAGCGCGCACTCTAATCTGGGAGAACCGGGTTTGATTCCCCACTCCTTTACATGCAGCTGCTGGTGTGACCTTGGGTCAGTCACAAGTTCTTTCACAGCTGTTCTCTCACAAGCAGTTTTCAAAAGAGCTCTCTCAGCCCCACCTGCCTCACAGGGTGTCTGTTGTGGGGAGGGGAAGAGAAAGGAGACTGTAAGGCGCTCTGAGACTCCTTTCGGTAGTGAAGGGCGGGGTATAAATCCAGTCTTCTCCTCTTCCTCCTCCTTCTCCCTTTTCTTGACATAGAAAGTGCAACATACAAGCGCTTAGTATGACCTTAAGTTCTCCTGGAGCATTCTAGTTGCCTTTTCCCTCTACCTTTTCCAGTTCAGTTTGACAGTGAGCTGACCAGCAGTGCAATCCTGTACAGAGTAACTCCAGTCTAAACCTATCGGTTTCAATAGACTGGAGTAACTCTGCATAGGACTGCACTGTCTGAATTGGGCACGAAGCAACCCTTTAGAGTACGGGGTGCTTCTCTCCATATTTAAATCATGCTTTTCTTCCGAGGAGCGTAGGGCAGCAAGCCCAGCTCTCCTCTGCCTTGTTTTATCCCTACAATAACCCTGGGAACAGCCCCGTAGCTAGGGAATTTTGGGGGAGGGGGCCTCGGAGGGGGCATCTAATTAAATCAAAGGACAATGCAGGTGACGTGTTGGGGCACTTTGGGGGCAGCCCAGGAAGGAGGGGGCCCAGAAGAAAGACTAGGGGGCCAGGCCCCGTGGGCCCCACGTTCACTACGGGCCAGCCTGGGAGGGTAATTCCAGGTGGTCGGCCATGTTGGTCTGAAGCCGTAGAACAAATGTAGACTCCAGTGGCACCTTTAAGACCAACAAAGGTTTATTTTGCACGGCCCACTTTTTCAAATACGTTGGCATGGAAGGTAGAGTTCAAACTTATAAACAGAGGCTGAGCAGCAAATTTAAATGTCACATGATGAAGACGTTTTAAGATATGCAACGACAAAAGTAAATAACAAGCTAAGGTTGTCAGGTCAACAGTTTTTTGATTTAATGAAGGGGGGGAAAGGCCAGCTAAGTAACAAATATGTCAAAATAGGGGACGGATGTGTAAAGGCATCTTTTCTAATTGTGGGAAGTCAACTGAGACTCTCCATTCATCTCCTCTCAGGCGTGGAGGTAACGTAGCGGCATTTCTTTCTTTCTTTTTTGCGGTGGGTGCCGCGGTATGTCAGCAAAACATTCCAAAGTCGTAATGGGTACAAAGTCCAAAGATCAGTTGTAATTCCGGGAGATTTCCCTGCCCCATCTGGGGGGGGGGAGTGTAACCCCAAGGAACAGGGTTGTCAATCTCCAGGTGATAGAAGCCAAAAATGAGAGCTCACGGGAGGAAGTGGAAATCCAAAAACAACATCCGTGACAAAAATAAGAAAGAGTCAATAACGATATGTTTGCAAAATCATTTGATTCTGTAGAAAATTATCTTCTGTTATCGCTCACATGCAACGAAGCCTGCGCTATGTAAACAATTCGTTTCACAATAACGGCTTTATCTGAGCGTGTAGCAATCACAGTTCTTATCGATTTCTACTTATCAACCCTTAAAGGAGACATTCCATGTGGATTCTCTAATAACAGAACCCGGGGGCGGAATGCCGCGGACTCCACCTTCCAAAGTGGCCGTGTTCTCTAGGTGAACTGGTCTCTGTCACTTGGAGCTCAGTTGTAATCCCAGAAGATCTCCAGCCTCCACCTGGAGATTGGCAACCTTGATTATACCCATTGCAGTCCCTCCTCAAACCTTGGCCTCCTCGGGCTCCACCCCAAAATCTCCAGGAATTTCCCAACTGGGAGCTGTCAACTGGCAAGGGACCTTGATTCCAGCTAAGAGAGGAAGTAGTTGCAGGGCCCTGGGTTATTTATACTCCCCACCAGTGTTCCCATACTCCCTACCAGTGTTCCCTCTGAGCTGAGTTAGTGTGAGCTTGCTCACAGTTTTTTAGCCTCCACCTCACACATTTTTGCCTTCGCTCAGGAAGGAGAGCTCCAGAGCAAACTAACTGATGCAGGAGCCAAATCACTCGCTCACAACTTGAATGCCAGCAGCTCACAAAGTAGAATTTTTGCTCACAAGACTCCACAGCTTAGAGGGAGCCTTGCACCCCTCACCTGGTATTTGAGATTTGCCTCAGCTCCCCGTCCCCAGCGAGAAAGGGACGGTGAATCCAGCAAGCAGAACGGATCTGCCGTTCCGGCCTGGCTGCAGACATTTGCTAAATCAAGGCACCTGGGCGATGCTTTTTGAGAGGATGTTTCCTCTGGAGGGCCCACCCCTGGGACCGAGAAGGAAACAGCTTTCTGCTGGGCAGCCTGTCAGGCGTGACTCTGGGAAACGCTGGACTGAGAAACTGGCCACCGAAGTGGTTCAACACTGCAGGAGTCACAAACGGGTTTGGTTTCCATTAGCTGCCTCTCCCAACCCCCCCACCGCCTGCCACACGCACACTTTCTGACTTCACAGACTTGGCGTACTCCGTCAGAGGCCGCCAAACCGAGGGAGAGAAGAGGAGAGTGCCCCTTTTCCCTCTCTGTTCTGGGCCAAGGATGGCTAGCTGACAAGCTGTCATCTGGACCCGGCAGTAAGTTTGACTGTCGTTTTGGCCAGATGGAAAAGGAGACCAGGTT